TCAGGGGAGAGTCTATGAATGGAATTTTTCATGAAAGGCTTACTTAGGGTGATATGAACGACTGCAGGCTTTTGGTATGCGGTCAGGATTAATTTGGATTAAGGTTAGAAGGATATAATTTGAATGGTGCATATATAGTCTTTTTCATCATGGGGTGGTGTGAAGACTGAATAATTATATTGTGACTTTCCCCTCTCAACTCCTTTGTTGAATTACGTATATTGAAATAGTTCAATAACAGTTATTTATTATGCAAGGGAAACCAAGAGCTAAAATTTAATATTTTTCTAATGTGTACTATTTGTTTCTGTGACAGGAAAGACAACGAATTAATATTGAAAGATAATTCTACAATGATAATATATTAAATTCACTATCATCGATTTTAAATTTGAAGTTTTTAACTGGTATATACAGGGTTCGGAAATTATGCAAAAAATCAAGCGGTTCATTCTGCATGAGGAAACATGAAATTTATTTCATATATACGTGGGTCCGGAAATGCATAGTTTTCAAGATACAGTGTGTTGAACTTTAAAAAAAAAATCGTTTTTTCATGAATATCTCAAATATCCTTCCACCGATTCTCTTGAAATTTGGCAATGATATTCTTTGTCATGAGAGGCTGATTTAACCATAATCAAATTGGAATTGTGGAATCCAGTGGCATCCCGGGGGCACCCTACCGAATATTGCAATAAAATGTGCGCCTCGGATTTTTTCTAATTCTTCTTCATATCCGATCTTTTTTAAAAGTTTCAACACACTGTTCATTGAAAACTATGCATTTCCGGACCCACGTACATATAAACTGAATTACTTATTTTATCATGTAGAATCACCCCCTTGATTTTTTGCGCATAATTTCCGGAAACCTTTGAAGTAATCAACTTTAATATTTGTCAATTTAATAATTCTGTGATTTGATAAAATAATTGAGAACTTAGTGGTTGTTTAGTAGTTATTTGGAATAATATAAAGTTGAAAAATGTCTAATTATGGGTTTTCTCTGACTCCACCGGAGTTAGTAGAAGCAGCGAAAGTAGCGTCACCAAATCATTGCCATGCAGATGAATTGCGAAAAATTTAAGAAAATGCGTAGGTATTTCAGATTTATGGAATGTAATGAACGAAATGAATGAAAATAAATTCAGTTCTCTCTCGGAGACGATGTTATTGCTTATTTTTCGGAACTGATAGCACAGCAAAAAAAGCCATCTACAGTGTATACTATACAGGGTGTTTCATTAATAATTGCAACTAATTGGAAATATTTCAGCTATATAAAATCGTAAAATTCTGAGCTCAAAACATGAAGATTGAACCCGAATCACATAGTTGGAATGTGTCTCCTGTTTGTTACAGAATGTAAATTCTACAAGACATTTGAATGGCCTATTCCAAACTCGCGAACCCCGTAGCACAAACTTCTCTCATTCGATATAAAGGCCATTTTGATATTGCTTTAGAAAATAATATTTTATCTTTTTTCATGTATAACAAATTGATATTCATCATGCAGGACGTGGATATTCTGAATTGAGAAAACCCAATCACAAATCTGCGATTAAAGGTCTATAAAAATAACAAGTTTCCATCGTTCAGGTTTCAACCCCTTGATTGGGTGTAAGTATTGAAAAGTAATATTCTGAGATAAAATTAAGAATATAAAAAAAGAGTACTGTCTGTAGGTTAATCGAGGAGGTGGTACATTCATTATTCCAAAATTTTTGGGATTTTCTCTCCTCGTTTCTATAAAATAAAAATATGAATATTATTTCAATATACGTGTAGTAAGGACAAATCAGATGATTTGCCCCAAAATGTCACTGCGTTTAAAGAATTTTCCTATCAGAGAGCCTAAAAGAAAAATTCACTAGCTTGTCAGTGGCAATTTGTATTGAAAAATTTTTGGAGAAGAGAAATAAAAGGTATATAGAAAACATATCAAATTTTCACTTATCTTTGGACGTTTTGCGAAGTCGTATAATATGTCTTGAAGCTTTTCAGTTTTCAATGACAATTGGTGACGTTGGCAATCAAATGAGTTACAGGATGTTTTCATTAATTAATGAATGTTATTATTTATATTTATATATATATTGTTTGTTAGAGATATAATTCCCATATCAATGATACGAATGATTTTTTCGAAAGTTCCAAGCTCATCAAGATCAGAGTTTACACAAGTGTACTACTCCTATATATTACAATTTTCATTTCAGTACTGAACATAATATATCGGTGTTTCATTTCATTATACATCATATTATATTATATCCGATCTGAGAGATAATGTCAATTGTCAATTTCAGAGGGTTTTCATTTTTCATGCTCTCTTTTTGGATGTTCAACAGATATAATTCAATGTTCAACGTGATAAGTAGCCAGGAAAGTAGTTGTTCCATGTTGAATAAACCGATAAATAATTGATATTTCTATCACATAGAGATAAATTAAAAAAAACAACAAATCATACTCAGTTAAATTAATAATAATTGTTATTGGAAATGTCCGCGGCAATAATTCTTCAAAGAATTGATCATGATTTTCAACACAAAAGATGATTTTTCACGAAAATGGTCAACTTGAGAGCATATGACCAGGAGTATCTTTTTTGTGTAGAAAACATTGGCGGTTCAAGTGGATGGCTCAAAACTGTACTTTTTTCAGTGGCGTAGAAGTTGGGAAAGAAAACTTTTACTACCCCTTCAAAACCTTCACCAATTATGACAAAAAAAATAGATTCCGCTCTGAACGTGGCTCATTATGAGTAAAAAATGCTCACAAAATCTGTCTTCTGTGCGATAAACGGTTCCAGAGATATTCGCAAAAAACCGACAAAAAACGATTTTATTTTCAAATTTCAACACCCTGTATCTCGAAAATTGTGCATTTCAGAAAGTAAGTTAATGCATACTTTTTTATATTTTTGGACGAGCTATCACATCCTGAAGTCCTGCGCATATATTATGGAACACCCTAAGTCACCAGTCTCACAGAATGTGATGGCATTGCTCTTCCTCATCCAGAAACATTTTTCCGCACAGCATCAGGTTTCAACACTAAACTCAAATTCTTCCTTTTTTATAAAAAGAGAACTGTTATTAGGCTCATCCAATATTCATCCACACAGTACCAGAGATACGAATAGGGAGCTGTTATCACCTGTAGGTATTGTATTCTCATCACCTGAAATCACCTCCGTTATTATGATTGGGGGTGCTCTGCTGAAGCTGAATTGCTGAAAAATAGGAAATCACACTATTGAAGTAAAGAATGAAATTATCTTCGTTTGTTTGTATCTACCTGCTGATCTTTTTTCCAGATAATCCAGAGAACTAACTATAGATCATCATTTTGCGTAAAACATTAAAAAATTCTCAAAAAGAAACAGAATAGTAAATGAAAATAAAAGAGGAAAAAGGCATAACGAGCTGTCGCCAGTTGATGCGTGATAGGTACGAGATGCCCATAAGGTGAAAGACAAAATATCATTTGACTCATTTTATCGAATCATCAAAATAATTCAGAGATTCCCTGATTAACTTGAATTTTTCCATCTTATCGTAATCAACAACTTTCACTCACAACAGGAAATAAGTTGATCATCAATTCAGGTATATTTTATGTATGACACGTCAGGGCCTATCTTTGATTCAGTTGGGCCCAAGGCCCGACAAAAATTGCGGGCCCCCAATATCCTATGACTTCCCAATAAGAATTTTCCTGCTAATTTTTCAGTTTTTTGTTGTTTTTTAATGATGAAAAAAAAGTTGATTGGAGGTTAATTTCAAATTCATTGATTGATAAATGGGACGGCGGAATATGACATCAAAAAATTTCTGGATCCAACCCGACAGAGCAGAGAATTTTTATTTGAAGAACGAGTTATACATTTTCATACTGTTTTCTCGTAATGTCAATGGCCAGTTGGTGCGTAGACATACAGTGCGTTCATAAAGTGTGTTAGATAGTTAGATTTGTCATTTGTTTATTTTCACTACTTCTTATGATATTTTCATTGCAAATAAATAATTAAATGAATGTTGAGAAATATGAACACTGGTTTCTTTTATACTCAGTATACTGTAACTTGAAGTGTAAGATATGACGTATGTGGTATGGTTGAACTCAGAAAAATATGGGCTTTCAATTTTTGATATAAAAATATACCCTTTCAATTTAAAAAAAATATCGATGACGTCATATCTTGTAAGGTGGTGGGGGAAAAAATTATTTTTTTGTAAAAAAAGATGGAAGACTGAAATACAAAATCGACCTGTCCGAGCTTTACCTCTGAAAATAATTATATCGTAAGATAATGGAGCGTTTCCACACTTTATGAACGCACTGTATATCAAGAAAGTGCATTATGTACCTACTTATACATTGGCATATTAAATGGTTTCCATAATATTTGTTGAAAAAATTTTATATTCAACAAAAATATTAATCAGGTAGTGCAAAAAAACCCAGCAATAACTCGATAATAATTTATGAATACTAAAACAAAACATACAACAACAAAAAATTAAAGGCAGTTCTGCTTGTGCTCGAGGAACAACGAACAAAATGAAAAATCACTAATAAAAAGATGATATTTTTTATTTGGAATTTCGAAAACCATTGATGATGGCTAAAACTGGGTTAAAACAAGAGCATTCAGAGTATCTAAACCTCGATCTGAACAGCTAAAAACATGGTGAGACGCATTAAAGTAAAATCACGATGATTCATGGATAACAAAGAGAAATCAATATCATCACATCATGTGGTTACAGGAAGAATCTAAGTGCATTCAATTTTTTGTAGAGAATCAGGAGGGGGGCAATTGCCCCCCCTAAATTACGGCCATGTTCCCCTGTCGGCACGGTGGCTCTTCTCAGGTGAAGAGACAATTGCATTCGCTTTCAGAGCCCGACGACGCACGAGTGGAACCAACGGCAATGTCGTTCGCGATCGGTTTTCGGTCACGGCATGCTGTTTTCTCGTCCGTCAGTGTTCCTCCACGGCTTGTTGTTGTCGGTCTGACGGGGCTGCGTTAACTCTTCATTTTTCTCCAAACGGATTTTTCGCCAATCGAACTGAATTCGCGTGATTTTCACGCTGGCTACCGCGACTTTTACCTTCTCGACTACACTCTACGAAACAGTGTTCATTTTTTATCGCTACATAACGAATTCGGACGGCTCTCGTTCAAGAAGTGTTGTGGTGTGATTTTTTTCCCTATGGTCTGCGGATTCTCGACTTTTTTTCGCATCGCTATAGGTACATAACTTTCGAATCGTTTGATCCATTGTGTGATGAATTTCACCAACAGACAGAGTGCCATGGAATTTTTATGTAATGTGAACAACGGACCACCTTCATGTTTCTGAAGTCTCTTCAATGTATGTATATTCGTGGGTGTTTTAAATGTAGTTTGTTTCACTGCCTTATCCTTATAGCCGACTCGAATTTTGTTACAGACTCCCAACACATTCATTTTGCTTCTAGACCTATTTATATTCCGTCGAATTGAAAAACCTGTTCTGTATATTGAGAAATTAGGTAGGTAGGCACCTATTGGTTGGTCCAATGATTTGTTATTTGTTTATTTTATTTGCACAAATTCCAGTGCATTGCAATCCGCTGATATATTACGAAATGACAAAAAACTAAATAAATTCCCCAAACTGTGCCCATACAGAGGAAATTATCTTTCACCATTTACCTCTGAAATCTACACGAGTTGGAAAATCCCAATCTGTGACCGGAACGTGACAATCACTATCAAGTAGTTTTAGGTAATGTTATTGAATTTGCCACCTAGCACCTACTCTTGCTTCTAATGAATTTCATTTCGTTAGCTAGGTATCTAGGTAGGTACAAGGACTTTTCCGAAACTTTCCTGGGAATATCAAATGCACGCATGCAAATATAACTAAATATTTAGGTAAAAGCAAGGGTAAAAGTAAATTAACCTCTTACAGAGTTCACTACAAAAATAGATCTTGTTATTTGACGTTTATTTGCTTTTAAAATAGCTACCTACCTATAGGTAGATAATGCCTACTTGTTTCTTTCAAGAGTACTGTACCTACCTACCTTTCTCTCCATGAGCCCCATGAGGATGATTTTGATATAGGTAAATGTAATTTCGATATCATCTAGGTATCAACGTTTGACTTACCCGATATAAACAATTATTATTTTATTTATTTTCCCGTGAAAATATTGGGCCTGAACCTAATGTAGCTCTCGAGGTAGGTGGCGAAGGGAAAGTAAAAATTGCACATCAACAGCGATTGAGCTAAGGTAGGTTATTAGTATCTGATCAATTCTGGCTCCGTACCAACTCCAACCAAATCAAGTTGGCCATGTCATAGATTAAATTTTTTAATCTACGGTCATGCTATATTATTCTTGATTTGGAGTAGGACGCGAGTATAGGAGTATCAAGATGATGCCTAAACTTCTCCCGAGACTTTTCCTCCCTCTAGTAGGAAACGAGGTAGGAAACGAATGTTCTTTATTGAAATATGCGGAAGGGCATCCATTGGTAGAGACTTCCAAATACCAAAGTGCTAACCGATATGCTAACGCCCTACCACCAACTGTGAATGCAGCAGTACTTAGACCTACAAAAAGTTTTCTATAGGTATTTCCGTAATTTAATTTTTCTCGATGGTGACTGCCTCGGTGACTGACCGCTTATTCATTAATTGGGCTACTCGGGTATACCTACTTACCTCGCTAGTCGCTACTTGCCCACTTTTATACAGGTGCAATTTAGGTATAGGTATAGGTACATGATCCTGAATTAGTATCTATACAGGGTGATCCACGGTGGATTGGAAGTATCTGGAGAACGAAAAGACAGAACATTCTGAAAATTGGGATGCTTTGATAATTGAACATTCTCTATCCGTCTAAAATATTTTCATCGATACAGTATTGCCACTTCTATCAGAAACAACTAGCAACTTCGTTATTTTAAATGGAGCACCCTGTATTTTATTGCATTTTTAGATTCTTCCTGAAGAGCTGATTCCATCAATGCATCACACTTGGGGTCTAGCAGGAATGATTACAGAGATATAGGGTGTTCAAAATCGAGAGTTCTCAATTTTAGGATTTTTTTGTGTCAAATCTATTCATTATCGATTTTCGATTCACTATCTACTGACATTTAATTGGAACAGATACAGGGTGATCAGAATTCTGAATCTTGAAGCACCCTATATTTTTTCCAATTAAATTCCAGTAGATAGTGAATCCAAAGTTGATGAAATTAGCTCTTCAGGAAGGATCTAAAAATGCAATAAAATACAGGGTGTTTCGTTTGAAATAACAAAGTTGCTAGTTGATTCTGATAGAAGTGGCAACCATGTATCGATGAAAATATTCTAGACGGATAGAGAATATTCAATTATCAAGGCATCCCAGTTTTTAGAATGTTCTGTCTTTTCGTTCTCAGATATTTCTAATAGGCCATCCACCGAGCATCACCCTGTATACATCTACCTTGGTATCTACGTATATCAATTTGTGTTAAAAAGTGCGAGTATTGTGCTAATTTCAAATGTTGACAATTTCATTAAATTCCTGTTATTCAGCAAAAATGTATCTATTAATAGGTGTACTTAACGTACCTGTTGTCGAATAATGCGATGAATATTATGTAAACATCACACTGATCGTTTTCCACACGTTGCATATTACTACTAATAATTGGTATGTATTGTGTGGACAAACGGCTCTTATAACAATAATTACGATCGCTGTTCTGTGGTGAATTGAATCACCGTTTTGATTACCATTGAACTGTAAGAGTTCCCACAGCCTTGACGGCAAGAGAACTGGGTACTAGTGGGTACTGCTGGGTACCGTCGTCTATATCCTTGCAACGAGGGCCGAGGGGCCTTCGACATCAGCTTTGTTGTACTCGTTTGCTTTCTTCGTACCTAGGTAATGTCGAGGGTAATGTACAGGTTGGGTCTAATTGGACACTTTTATAGGAAAAGTCCTAGATAGAAAAAAAAACTGATATTGGGCCTGTTGATCAGTTCACATGACAAACTCTAGTGAAAACTGCATATCTATATCTATATTCATTTCAGAGTTACAAGGCTGAAACTAATTTTTTTGTAGAAATTTCTTCGTTTCCATAAAAACATTTCCGAAGTATTTGTGTCTGTCGATCAATCATCAGGCACTGAAATCAGTCACCACCTAGTTTCAAAACATAACTTTTTCTTCAAGAATACCAAGTTATATTCTTGAACAAGATATAGGAAGGCCGATTTCAGTGCCTAAGGAATGATTGTTATCACGAACTCAATGCTTTGCAGTTATTTTCATGAAAACATACAATTTTTGCCAAAAAAATATTTATAGCCACTTTTGAAAAATGCCCATTCTCGAAGAACACCTTGTAACTCCGAAACAAACACAGATATAGATATGCGTTTTTCACCATTGAGTTTTGCATGAGAATCGACCCTCAGGCACCGACATCAGTTTTCTTCTATCTAGTTGAAGAATAGGACTTTCTCTCACTTATGTAAAGTTGGCACCGACTTTTTTGAAAAACTGAATTTTTATCGGAGTTCTGGGTAGATACGATAGAGTTCTGGAATTCCTGACAATAAATTTCAATAGTTCTGGTTAATTGTAGAAAATAACCGAAAAACTAAATTGTGGGTACTAACTACACGCGGCGCCGATTTTTTCACAGAAAAGAGTTTTGATGAGAAATTTTGACGTATTTGAAAGAGTTCTGGAGTTCCTGATATAGTTTAACGATAGTTCCGGCGAAATTACAAAGTTATTCCTATTTTTAATAGGGACATTCATACGCTTATGTAGCATCCACCACTTTCTATTGTTCGGATCGGAGTTCTGGGTAGCACCAGTCGAGTTCTACATACTATCTTGATACATTTTTCCTCTAAAATCAAAACTTCAGTTCTTATAAGCAGAAAAGAGCGGAAAAGAGGGACCAATTGAAAAAAAATATGATTTGTGAACGATTTGGAAAGGAGAGACAATAAACAAATTTATCAAGATAGTATGTAGAACTGTAGAACTCGACTGGTGCTACCCAGAACTCCGATCAGAACTCCTCTATTGTCTCTCCTTTCCAAATCTTTCACAAAACTTTCTTCCCCTTGTTTTCGCCCATGAAAACTAGTTTAGATTTTAGAGAAAAAAGTCACCCAGATAGTATGTGGAACTCGACTGGTGCTACCCAGAACTCCGATCGGAACTTCAGAAAGTGGTGGATGCTACACGAGCGTATGAATGTCCCTATTAAAATAGGAATAACTTTGTTATTTCGCCGGAACTATCGTTAAAATATATCAGAAACTCCAGAACTCTTTCAAATACGTCGAAATTTCTCATCAGAACTCTTTTCTGTGAGAAAAGCACCTACAAATTTGTTTTTCGTTTATTTTCTACAATTAACCAGAACTTTTGAAATTTTTTGTCAGGAACTCCGATAAAAATTCAGTTTTTCAAAAAAGTCGGCGCCAACTTCACATAAGTTTTTCACTTGAGGGGTCAACCACTATGGTCCAATATGTGTACACTTATGGTGTCCAATTCAGATGAAATCTGTCCAATCCAATGTCCATTCTTAGCCCAATATTCCTATTCTAACAATGCAAAAGTCCAATCTCGTATTTTTAATATTCGATAATATCCGATAATATCCGTCCAATCCGAGGTCCAATCTGTCCAATCCGTGTACGTTTTTGGGAGAGTGGATTACCACTCGCTTTTCCTTTAAAAGTCACCAAATTGGCCCACCCTGTACATACATATCGTACACATTCGGACCTTCGTTTATTGCGTTTATTTTTCTCATTCAAAGGGAACTCATCGAAGGATTATTTGACAAAAAAGACCTCGCAAAAGACTCTAGCTCGGACTCTAGTAATAATGATGAACTCTATCATGGCAGGTATATAAAAATTGAAAAATTGTAATCACCGTTTTTTCCCGAGATTTATTTCGGTTTTTCTCTTACCTACAACATTTTTATTCTGTTCCCAAATCTAGCTACGATTCCAGAATAACTTCCTAAATTAGGTATACCCCTGTTGAGTTTATGACTCGGTTTATGATATATATGTCGGCGTCAATTTGTGAAATCCGTCATTCCCTGAAATGCCCAGTCATTTCACGTATTGTCGGCAAACAGAGTAACAGCGTAACTTCCATTTTCCGGTGTTACTCTGTTTGCCGGAGGATTGAGGAAGGAAAATATCCTTTCTGCATATGCATAAGAAGGGAGACTATTTTTCCTTCTTCCTAGGAAGTATTTTTTTCAGAAAATTACTTGAGAGAACAGAAGAGACTACTGCTTCTAAACAACCTATGCTGACTCGGCTCGGCCTAAATGAACCTTCTTTCCATCATTACAGGGAGTGCCTGAAACTATTAGGCAAACGGTGTACGAAATTTAGAGTTACGCTGTTTGCCGGCTATACGTGAAATGACTAGGCATTCCAGGGAACGACGGATTCACTGTTTGACGCCGACATATACATATACCGAGGGGGAGGACGCGCTCCAAAATTATGTAAACCTATTGCCAGATTCGGCACTAAATGTCGATTAAATGCTATAGTTTATTGCCGTAATGCCGACTAATGCCGATATATTTCTATACCTATACATATATCATAAAAATGTAGAATTCTCACATCTCGCTCACATCCAATAACCCTGCCAAGTTCAAAACGCTTTTAGCTTTGTTTCTTGCTGGGCGATTTTGGCTTTGGCGATGCTATCAGAAAACTAAGCTTTCCTCTTATCTTTCAAAAACTCTTAACCTCGCTCTTGACATACTATACCTATGGCTTGTCTATTGAATAAAGTATACGTTAGCAGCTTGTGTCTTGTGTATGATCTCGGATAGGTATCGTAGAACAAATATTTAAATAGTCGAGTATCCACTTATCTATTATATAATATATTATCTTGTATATAGATACCATATATACACCTTCAAAAATGTATACCGAATAACAATTTGCCAAACTAACTTATAGAACCTCAACACTAAACTTAAATCTGGTGGGTGTATTGCGGTGTTTTGGGTATAGGTATTGACAATAAAAGTTTTACGAAAAACCACGGGATTTTAAAATGTGGTGTGAAAAAAAACGGAAAAATGTTTAAATGATCAAAATGGTCTTCGGGAGGGTATTCGTTATATGTTGAGCATACAATTCAAGGAATTCCAAGGAGATCCAAAGAAATCCAAGGAAATCCAAGGAATTCCAAGGAAATCCAAGGAAATCCAAGGAAATCCAAGGAATTTCAAGGAAATCCAAGGAAGTCCAAGGAAATCCAATGAATTCCAGTTGTTTGTACACCAGAATTATACCGCACTTCACTCAAAGAACTCCAAGGAAAACCAAAGAATTCCAAGGAAATTCAAGGAATTCCAAGGAGATCCAAGGAATTTCAAGGAAATCCAAGGAATTCCAAGGAAATCCAAGGAAGTCCAAGGAAATCCAATGAATTCCAGTTGTTTGTACACCAGAATTATACCGCACTTCACTCAAAGAACTCTAAGGAAATCTACAGAATTCCAAGGAAATTCAAGGAATTCCAAGGAGATCCAAGGAATTCCAAGGAAATCCAAGGAATTTCAAGGAAATCCAAGGAATTCCAAGGAAATCGCGGTTTACCCCTCGGATATTTTTTTACAATGATTTTCTTATTTCTCAAGAAACATGAAAAGTAAGAGTGAGTATTTTTGTTTTTCTGACGTGTTTTTGTTTCAGTGGCGCACGTGATGTGGTCGTCGAGGGGCTGGGGCCGGCGCTCCCCCCTCCCTCTGGATTTTCGGTGTCTGGCGCAGGCGCTCGCCACCGGCTTCCACCGATTCCTAGCAAGATTCTCAGGTCAGTAACCCGCCCCTGTCTCCCCCAATAAATGACTATACGTTCCAGAGTATTTTCACCTTTCTTACTTTCTTAGATCCATCCATACTGCGTGTATCATCCTCGGTATAATCGGTCCTTCGAAATAGCAGCTGCCTATATAATTCAAGTAATAATTATTATTACGCACGGTATATATAGGTATTTCGGTGCCCCTGTATTCGAAATATTCGTTATTGGCGCATGTTCTACTTGATGGGATTCGACTTGGGATTTTTTGAATATTTTGTTTTCTGCGAGGTTTTCTTCATAGCCCGACAAGCTCCTATTATACAGTGATATTATAGTAGAAAAAACTTGTATACGGAACTTCCCATGGGGCAAAACGTCTTATACTTCTTCGAACTTCCTCAAACTTCCCCGAAATTCCTCAAACTTCAACAAACTCCCAAAACTCCCTCGAACTTCTAATTTCAAACCTCCTGGAACATCTCACTTTCCGAACTCCTTCGAAACTGCCCTGGACTTCCTCGAACTTTCTCGAGAACTTTCTCAAATCTCCTCGAGTCTGTACCACAACCTTCTCACGTGATTACCCACGGCTTCAAACGTCTCTGAGGTAGGAGACTATACGCCCGACATTTGGCAGTAGGTAATTTTAACGTCAAAAATCATACTCCAAAAGGGTTAGAAAACACAAAATCATCTCCACGACGTTCAAACGTTTACAAAATAATTTTTCGCGATTTTCTCGATGATTTCAAACCAATCATGAACGTACTACCTACCCTGTATAATTTCGAATATACGTGGATATACATAGAGTAACTCCGCCAATCAGAAATTTAGAATTATTTCCATAGTACCCAATCCCGTAACCAATTCATAATTGTTTCGTATACAAACAAACAAAGCGCGTCGTAAAATGTTGACGTTTGTTTAAAACTACTCAAAAAATAATCATATCGAATACAATTCGAACTTCAAACTGTTCATGGTTATACTCGTGGGTAAAAATAGTAGATTGTTTTATTAGGATCAAAAGTTACACTTTGTTTGACAAGCGAAGCCGAGCGAAAGCAAAATTTGCGAGTCAACAAAGTCACTTTTGAACCGAATGAAACATGCTATTTCTTCGAAAGAAACCGAAAGAACTAACACTTAACTAAAATATATATATAAGTGAAGTAACCACCAATGGGACTCACTTGACAGATTATTATAATAATCGAGATAATAATGTGAGTAAGTAGATAGAAGAGTACAGGCAAGAATTCAATACTACCCGAAACGTGGATGCCGTGCCATAAGGATACGATATTGATGCGATGCAAGGAATAATTCGTTTGGTGGGGATTTTTATACCTTTATAAATGATTTGTACAGGGTGATTCACCATATATGTCCCCCCTTCTAGCTCACTTATTTTTGAACCGATTCAAAAATTTGACAAGTCATCTGAAATGATTTTTCAAAAATTTCTTCCCGTTGCATCAGAAAATACAGGGTGCTCGGAACAAACGATCTACAGAGTACTACTTGACTTTTTCAAATGGAACACCCTGTATTTCATTGTATTTTTAGATTCTCCCTGAAGAGCTTATTTCATCAATACATCACACTTGGGGTCTAGCGGGAATGATTACAGAGATATAGGGTGTTCAAAATCGAGATTTTTCTTCTTCTTCAGGATTTTTTTGTGTCGAAACTATTCATTTTTGGTCAAAACGGCTTCAATGTCCCTATCTCAACTATTGATTTACTATCTACTGACATTTAATTGGAACATATACAGTATGGTTCAAGATTCAAAATTCTGATCACCCTGTATCTGTTCCAATTATTAAATGTCAATAGATAGTAAATCAAAAGTTAAGATACGGACATCATGAGAGCCGTTTTGACCGATAATGTATAGATTCGTCACAAAAAATCCCAAAGTTGAAAAATCTCGATTTTGAACACCCTATATCTCTGTAATCATTTTCGCTAGACCCCAAGTGTGATGCATTGATGAAATCAGCTCTTCAGGGAGAATCTGAAAATACAATGAAATATAGGGTGTTCCGTTTAAAAAAAAATCGAATAGTACCCTGTAGATCGTTTGTTACGAGCACCTCGTATTTTCTGATGTAGCAGAAAAAAACTCTATCGAAAATCATTTTAGATGATATTTGAAATTCTGTACATTGGTTTGTACCAAACACGATTAGATGGCGAGAGGTTATCGTGCTGTCCTGATGTCGCTCCTGATATGCCAAAGGTTGTGGGATGGAATCCCGCAATTCTTTCTTCGAAGTGAAGAAAATAATGTGGAGGCATTTACAAATCAGGTTCATTCGATTTTCAAGGATGTTCGAATTGTAGTTTCAATATACAGTGTGACCCACTTCTGATGGAAACACCCCTGTATCTTACGTAATCGTTGGGTAAGGATCCTGAAATATACTGGAGCGAGAGATATACCAAAAATGCACTCTATGACCAAAGGGAGTCATCTTCAGGGATATACACTGCTCGCCAACAGCCATGGAACCACCCCAATTTCCGGAAAATGATATTAGGAGTCAAAATAGGTTGAAAATCACTTCGGAATCGGAATCAGGATCCTCAATTCACTAACTATCCATAGTTTTCCTAGGAAATTTTCAGTTCAGAAAAATTAAATTTTGTCTCACTTCTCATGGAAGCACCCCTGTATCTCACGTAATTATTGAGGTAGGGTTCTGAAATTTGCAGGAGGAAGGGAAAGTCCAAGGATAAAGTCAATTACGTAAGATACGGGGGTGCTTCCGTAAAAAGTGCGACAAAATTTAATTTTTCAGAACTGAAAATTTTTCAGGAAAAATATGAATAGTTAGTGAAGTGAGCCTATGTTGTTTTGTCTTGATGACTTAATACACCATTTTTAGTTCCTAGGCGTTGAAATTCAACTTTAGCTAAAAATGCTGGTGCATTAGGGGTTAATTATTATATAGGTCGAATTCAGTTGAGAAGTCACTATACAGGGAGTGTCACTTCTGATGGATACACCCTTGTATGTTCCAATGCCATTGCATTGTTCGTTTCCGAAATGCCAATAATGGTACTAATTAAAAATAGCCTGGATAGCTTCCAAATTGTATTTCATGTTTTATCTCGGTTTTTCCTCGTTTTTACTCAGAATTATGTCGCCGATATCAACAACAAAACAAAATAAAGGCGTGCTTCGCCGAATGAGCAGACGTCTAGTCACTTTAACGATTTCAGATGACGATATAATTAAAAAAATCACACAGTTCATGAATGAAATATTAGGAAGTTGAAAAAATAAATTTATATATATATATATGTGTGTGATCGTGACTTCCGGCGAAGGTATTCATGTAACAACGCTAACCAACATCCGCTATAAGTTGTAGTCGATACACCATCAGCTGGTTTCTGAATGAATGTGGAATCTCAGTGTTGCCAATCTGGAAATTGTCAATGATCTATTATTTGCATGCTCAAATATCCCGCCATTTTTTGCCTCATGATAAACGGATTTGTTCATTTTTTTGTCAAAAATCTATAGAATGTTCATCAATAATTTAGGTACAAGATTTATTCAGATTATTTAAACATTTACTCTCTCCTTGTACCAATAGATCTACAGAGACTCTCATCATTTTGAGAGATATCTTACTAACTTGGGATTATTCGTTACAGATTCTCTTCAACGTGTTTTTTTTAGATTTTGAAAGTATGCGGCTAATGATTGAGCTAAATACTAATGACATCAACATGACTGCATAATAAAAAAACCTCGAATAAAACTCTTGACTGTTGACACGGAATTTCATCAGTATATCAGTTATCTCGGCTCATGGCCATGAACAACCGATCATTATTCCACAGTTAAAAGAATATACAAATATATTGTATATTCTTTTAACTGTGATTATTCTAATTTTTATAGGAAACTTCGTGAATATTCGGGATATCTACCGGTTTTCTTCATATCTATCTAAAAATTCCATGTCCCGCCAAAAGACTTTAACGGTGTTTAACATTTACAATTTCCAAGAATGCGGGAAACTTCCAGCCTATAGGCAACGCTGTTGGTTTAATAATTCTGTGGAATACCTATGTCGAAGGAATCACCAAGGGTTGTTACCCTCTCAGTGAAGTCGTCAAGTCAGTATGAGAGTTTCTAATGTCCGACATCCAACAGTTTGTAAACATTCACATGAGTCATTGAGTGAAGGAGTGAAGGAATCAAGGATTCAAAGATTCAAGGATTCAAGGATTGAGGAATTTAGGAATTTAGGAATCAAGAAGTTAAGGACTCGAATAATTGAAGGATTGAGGTATTCCTGAATTAAGGGATTAAGGCATCAAGGCATTAAGAAATTAATAAATTAAAGAATTAAAGAATTAAAGGGATTAGGGAATTAAGGAATTAAGGCATTAAGAAATTAATAAATTAAAGAATTGAAGAATTAAAGGAATTAGGGAATTAAGGAATTAAGGAATTAAGGAATTAAGGAATTAAGAAATTAAGGAATTAAGGAATTGAGGAATTGAGTAATTAATACATTAAGGAATCATGGAATTGAAGAATTTAGGAATCAAGGCACTGTTCTATTGATACTTCCATGGGAAATGTTCTTCAGAAATCTCTGCTATCATTTCATGACTAGCAATACCAGTCAGGCAATCTCTACAAGCGCATTCCGCACATCCTCTCGTTATCAACCTCGAAATATGTCGAACAGCACTTTATCAAGACTCGTTTCTCTATAGAACGGCAAAGCTCTGGTATTCATCACCCCTCTTAGGTACGCACGATGTTCCTTGAACATTATAGGGATTTTCTATCGTGCGCACCAAGCGCTAGAAAAATGATTAAGGAATTACGGGATAAAAAATTGTGGGATAAATGAATTAAGGAATTAAGAAATTGAGAAATTGAGAAATTGAGAAATTGAGAAATTGAGAAATTGAGAAATTGAGAAATTGAGAAATTAAGAAATTAAGAAATTAAGAAATTGAGACAT